GACTTTTATCCCCAGAGTTGCTGCTATAAACCAAGGTTGAGACTTTATGACGTAAATTACATCAAAAGAGGGTGCTGCAACAGAAACAACCTTTAAGGATGCATGTTGCGTCTACCATCAACCAGCCCTGGATGCCTTGTCTTACTCTGCCCCTGGGAGTGATCACGTGGGATTCTTGTCTGCATAAGAGCAGCAAACATTCAGTTTTAACATGTGTTAAGTAAACCGAGAAAAAGTCTATTCCTGTGTTGGAGTCATTAACATTGAAAACAAGAAACAAATTCAAAGACATGGACACAGGGCTTCCCTGGTGGCGCAGTGGTTGAGAGTCCGCCTGCTGATGCAGGGGACACGGGTTCGTGCCCTGGTCCGGGAAGATCCCACATGCCGCGGAGCATGGCCACTGAGCCCGTGCTCCACCACGGGAGAGGCCACAACAGTGAGAGGCCCACGTACCACAAAAAAAAAAAAAAAAAAAAGACATGGAGACAGTCTCCCAACACATACCACACCTGTTTTTTTTCCTCTTTCTGTGTTTCCCAAGAGTTTATCACATGTTTCTTGTGAAGTTCCAATTCAATCTGAGGACGAGAAGGCAGAGAATAAACTTCCTAACTGATTCATTGGACACATATTCACTGCCGAGTACAGTGTCATGGCCTGGAATGTGGCCAGGTGTCTTATAAGTAAGTGCATGGTGACCCCAACATATACAGTCTGATTGCAAGTCAATTAGAAAACCAAAGGACCAGTCAATTCTAAACCATGTCAAGAATTGGAAAAAAGTAATAAACTTTTCTTCCAGTACCCTTGGGGCTGAGCCAGAACAGGTCAGCAGACACTGAAATGGAAATCTAATCTCAAAGGCCACCCTGGCAGGTCTAAAGCCTGCCAGGCCCCAGGGCAGAAGCTAGATGAGGAACAGACTCAACCTTTGGCCTGGCTCCCCAGTACTCCCTCTGCAAAAGAGCAGCTGTAAAAACATGCACTACCTGGATCAATAGATGCAACAAATTTGGGGTAATTAATAAGAGATTTGGGTTTAAACAATCTTTTGGATCAGAAAATGAATTGTACCACTGTCCAAAAGCTTTTGTTTGGGAAATTGTTTATAAAAGTTTTAAATTTCTCCCTCAACTCACACATGTAAGCCTTTGCAACTAACTTGAATGTTCTGAATAAACATCTGAGTAGGTGACTTTGGAGGAACCACTGAAATCTACAAATGGCTGGGGAGAGGAGTCCTCCCGGGTTTAGTGCTAACGGCACAGCACTGCAGAGCAGCCAGATGCTCTAGTACTTGTGACTGGCAATTTCTACATGAAGTTATGAGCACACAAGTGAACACACCAAGTGGATACACAAACTATACACTGAAACTAATTAATTATATCCTTCATGGGATTCTCTCCCTCTAGCCCAATCTCTGTTGAATGATGTCACCCCAGCCAAGACGCCCCGCTCTCTCCTTGCCCCGAAGCCTGTGGATTTGTCCCCCTTTCTCCTGCCACCCCAGTTCTGACCTTTACCATTACTTGCCTGGGCTGCGGCAGCAACCCCTCAATTGACATCACCCCTTCCCCCCCCACCTCGACATTACTGCCAAAGCTGCTGCTCCCCAAAATGCAGCTGGGACCCTGTTGCACCCCTGCTTAAAATCACGCAGGTGCTCCCCAGCACTTCCAGGGGAAGACCGTATGAGGCCGTCCAAGGTGGCCCCTTCTGCCTACCCAGCCTCTGCCCTTGGGGTCCCCCCTCCCTATCAGACGTCCCAACCTCACAGCCACTTGTAGCTGTTAACCGAATGACCCAGATCTTCTGTGTGGGGCTTCTTTTCAAGGTGGCTGGAGTGATCTCTGTTTCACCCCAGCACAAGATGCAAGCTTAAAAACAAGACGGGAAACATGACTTCATCTACTTAGGCAAATCAACAGAAGGATCTCCTTGGTTTTCACCTCTCGAAGTTTGGGGTTGTTCTTTTTCCAGTGTTCATACAAAAGCTGTTCAGCAATCTGTCAAGAAAACACAAAGAGGAAGCCTGATGTCACTTTTCCAATCTGTCCACATTTTGGATAACCCACAATAGAAGTCAGGTCAGGCTAAGAGCTCCTCCACTGGCACCCGGCACTGTGCCTGCCCTTCAGACCTCCCACATGCCTCACACCCACGGCGCTGGAAGCCAGACACCTGATTGGAAGCACACAGTGCTGACAAATGACTCTTATAATGGTGACAAAAGGGGGCCCAAATCTGATGCTACAGATGGGTCCTAGATACTAAAGATCTGTTTCAAAATATACAACAGGCTTAAAAACAGAGCTCTGGGGCTCACCATCGCACACGACTACTTTGGAAGATAAAATATACCACTCCCAGCCCTTTGTGGGACCAGAGAACTAGAATAAAGAAAAAGGACTCAGATGTAATGATTAAGGGGCCAAAGAGAATAGAGATGACTCATGGAAAACACACATAAAGAACAACTCAGAGTAAGCACTTTTCCCGACTGGCTCTGGAGTGAAGTGCCGTCTCAACAGGTCAGAGCCCCCGAGGGGACCCCACGTGGCATCACTGACAGGCTGGGGACTCCCGCTCTGCAGCCTCCTAAAAAGCTACTTACCAGTTTCCTTTGCTCCTCTCGGGCTGACTTCAGATTCCTGTGCTGCTCCCGGATTCTTCTTTCCCTCAAGTTCATGCTCAGCCTCAGCTCCTCCAGTTCTCTGGCCAGCAGGTCCTGCTCCTCTGCCAGAAGCTGCCTGAGTCTCTGCCGTCGGGCCTCCAGACGCTTCCTCCCCTCCTCCTTCATCTTCTCCCGCTGGTAGGCGTGCATGCTGGGTAAGAAGGAGCCACCATCAACCAGATGTGCTACAGCCGCACAGGGAACACGTGGCTGGTTGTGTGGGTGACAGAGGCTGAGGCAGACAGAATGTGGTGACCCGGGAAGGTTTCTTCCAGCCAAAGTGAACAGAGGTGACAGAACCACTATGCATAATAGAATCTTGTTTTTGCAAGAAGAAAATGTATAATGGGCTTATATATGCGCGTGCTAACGGTACCAGCTAATATTATTTGAGCAGTTACTGTGTACCAGGTACTACATACCTGGACGGTTTTATATTAAACATCACATAAATCCTATAAAGTAGGTTCTGTTTTAGCCCCACTTCACTGATGAGGAAACTGAGCTCATTCATACAGCAAGTGACACAGTCAGGGTTTCTATCTAGGTCTGTCTGACTCCAAAACCTATGCTATTTTTTTTGCGGTACGTGGGCCTCTCACTGTTGTGGCCTCTCCCGTCGCGGAACACAGGCTCCGGATGCGCAGGCTCAGCGGGCATGTGGCTCACGGGCTCCGCGGCATGTGGGATCTTCCTGGACCGGGGCACGAACCCGTGTCCCCTGCATCGGCAGGCAGACTCTCAACCACTGTGCCACCAGGGAAGCCCCTAAAACCTATGCTTTTAACTTCAATGTTTTTACATGCATTTCTACAGAAAATGGGTGTATATGTGTGTATATATATTTACACACAAACACAAATGGAGAAGAGTATGGGAGGATATGCACCAGACAGTTCATTGTGTTTCTCTCCTGGGGGTATGGGGTTACGAAGGAGACTTCCACATTCTACATACATTTCTCATTTTATCTTTTTCAGTGCGAATTTGTTACTTCACTGATGATCTTTTTTTCAATTTCCAGTTGGAAAGACATCACTGTGCAGGTAATCCATGCTGTCCAGCCACACTCCCCCAGGTCCTTAAGGTCACATCTCCTGACAGCAAGTGGCCCTCAACCCTAACCGATGGCAGTCACCACACAATTACCTCCTCTGGTAGGAGGCCTTGGAGCTCCATTCTGCCTGTTTGGAGCTGCAGATGTCAGACACCTTGAAGTAGCGGCTGTTCTGATCCCACTGCTGCCGAAGCTGGGCCTCCTGCTCCCGGCGTTGCTGTCGTGCAGCCTGCTGATCCGGGAGCCTCCGGCTGCACCAGGAGGAGGGCAGCGTGGGGAGTGCCATCTGAGGAGAACAGCAGTGGTAAGAAAATGAGCCTGCTGCAACCTCTCATCCCTTTAATGCGTGATCCTCACCCCTTGGCTGAACACTGGAATCGCCTGGTAGAGCCTGGGCCCCACTCCAGACTAGTTAAATCAAACAGTCTTAGTGTAGGCCCCCAGGCACCAGTATTTTAAAAATGATTTGTCATCAGGACTGCAAATCATCTACTTAAATAAGCGTGGACTGCACCGGGCTGTGAGCCAGACATCATGAAGGGCACTGCAGACAGAGACAGAGAACCAGTCCTGGCAACGCTGGACAAGCACACTGGGGACTTCTATGCTCTGCCTAAGGTAACATAGATAATAATTTAAGGAATACTTGTGTGTGCCAAGCCCTTGACATATACGATCTTTTTCATTGTTACTATCGCCCCATTTTTTGGCAGGTGAGAAAACTTAAGTTCAAAGAGGTAAAATGACTTGCTCAAGATTACAAAAGCAGGAAGTGGAGGAAATTTATAAAAGAGCTGGGATCCTAATTCATGTTAGTCTGAGATGAGTGCCCGGGCTCTGTAGACTGCAAGAGGCTGCCTGTTGGGGCCAACATGCCCTGGCTTCGGCAACCCGCAGAGAGTGGCCCAATCCAGGTGTCACATCTGGAAGTGTTCTGGATTAGCATGGAGGGAGATCCCTCATCTTACGGATGGAGAAACCACCACCCAGAGAGAGGAATGAATTTGCATGGGTCAAGGAGCAATCTGGGGACACAGCTGGAGACTCGAAAGCAGAACCAGTCTCACTCCGGACACCTTTTCCCCTGGTCCAAAAGCTGCCCTATGTGCAAGGTCTACACAGTGCTTGGCTGTGACAATGCTTAAGGAGCTTCTGTTGAATAAGCAAACTCAGAGTCCTCCGATCCCGAAGGAAAGTGATCTGCGTCTATGGGCCGAGTTTAGCCTGAGGCTGCCAGTTTATGATCTGTCTTCAGACTGCGGCAGGCTTGACAAACTGTTTTCCTTGCCCTGTGAGCCGCCCGCGGATAAATCTTTGCACCAGGAGTCAGAAAACTTAAGATTCCGGTCCCGGATCTGCCACCAACAAGCTGGGCTGCTCCCTGAAAAAGTCGCATCCCTCTGTAACAAAAGCGGTTACAGAGGAAAGTGTCGGACCCAGAGCGCGCGGGGAGCAGAGTGAGAACGGGAAGCCGAACCCCCGGGCTCCCTGCGATCGCGTCCCGCGACGGCGGACGCGCTTTCCGCCAGCGCGGGGCCGACTGCAGCGGGGCTCTGAGGGTCCCGGCCCCAAAGCCGGCCCCCGGCCGAGCCCAAACCCCCGACTTACGTTTCTCTGCGCCCCGGAATCTTCGAAGGCTGTCCCGGCCCGAGCTGCAGCATGTCCCAACCGACCCCGGCACGGCCCGCTGCAACCCTTCCGGGCAGAACTGCACCTACGCCGGCCGTTTCCCCGCTCGTTGCCGGGGCAACGGGTCGGCGACGGAGCGCCGCGAGGGCCAAGCCTCCTGCAGCGCGATTACTAGACGCGCAGAGAGGAAAAAGAAGGCTGTGTTTTTCTCTGGTGCCCCCGCGTGATGGGCGGGAGCTCAATCGCAAACGTCGCTAGTCCTGGAAACAGGCAAGGAAAGAGGAAAAGAATCCATTCACTACACCAAATTTAGGATAAAGGTGAGGATGGGGGGAAATCAGAGGGATATGATAGGGGAGGTGATTATAAGCCAGTGGTTCTCAAACCTGGCTGCGCATGAGAATCATCTCGGGAGCTCTTAAAAATCCAGATGTCCAACAAACTCCAGACAAATCCCATGAAGCTCCCTGAGGGTATCAGTGGTTGTCTAAGCCCCCCAGGTGCTTTCGACGTGCAGCCAGCTCGCAGAACTGCTGGCGTCAGTAGGGACGAGTTATTGGTAACTTTCTATTTTCTTAGGATAGTGGTGGGTTCAAGTCTGTTCATTCTCTTAGTGTGTTTTATAACTCGCAGGTGTTACGTGTATTATCTTATGTATCAACTATTCCGTTAAGAAAATGAAAACATCCGCTCTTTGATTCATGCCCTTTTCATTTTCCCATTCTTGTCTTCATTTACTCTCTCCTTCATTCCTTCCTCCCTTTATTCCACTCTCTGTTTTCCTGGATGCAGCATAATGTCCGGTTGAACATTGTGGCCTCTGCTGCAACCTCCACCACGCTAGTCATGTGGTCTTGGACAGGTCACTTCATCACTCCGTGCCTCAGTGTCCTCATCTGTGAAATGAGAATGTTAAAGTAATTGGAAAAGGAGGCCGTGAGACTGCGGAGGCCCTGACGCCTCCGTAGCCTATGCAAGCCAACCTAAACCGAGGCCAGAGCCAATGCACTTGAATCCGAGAAAATGAAACTTACCAATCACCAACAGCCAGCTAGGCGTTCCCAAACAAGGCAACCCCTTAAGCAATAGCCAATCAAATATTTCCTTGCTTTCACATCTTCTTTCTAAAAACCTCTCTCCTAGATTCTGCCGGTGGAGCGCTCCCGACCGCCTTTTCTTTGGTGCTGCCTGATTCAAATCAGTAAGTCTTGAAAATTTTACTGTGCCTCAGTTTAGCTTTTAAAAAGAATACCATCAGGGCTGCTTTCTAGGGTTGCCCTTGTGAGAGGAAATGAAGGTTTAAATGGAGAGGGCCCAACAGCAGAGCACCTCAGGTGAGCTCAGGTGAGCATCTCAGGTGAGCACTGTCTCTCACATCCCCCTTTACTTGACACATGTTTACTCAGCATCTGCCCTGCCTCATGCGTGAGATTCCCTAGGGTCAGCCTCCGATTGGTCCCAACCCCTTTGGCCAAGGTCATGGCCACTCTTCCATATTGTGTCCCCAGTGGAGAAGGGAAGCAGCCACCCACTCTGATCAACCCAGCCAGAGCTGCCCACACAACAAAAGAGCCCAATAAATAAATACTTGTTGATGGGCCTCCTTGAGTGTGGTAGGAACTTTAGAAACATGTGAATTGTGTTGTGGGAGACTTGCCTTCAGGTCCTGATTTTGTGCCTCTTGGGCAAGGGCCTTCCACTCTCTGGGTCTCAGTTGCCTCATCTGTATAATGGCCTTAAAGGACCAAACAAGCTCCACTACTGGGATCAAGGGCCTAGGGCTTGACTGGCCTGGTCCTGGAAGCCTGAGGCCCCAGGGCATAGCCTCTGGGCCTCTTCTTCTGGGATGGCACTTGCCCAAGGAACCACAGCTTATAGGTGGTAGAGCCAGGACTTGAACCCAGCTCTGTCTGATTGCAGGTCCTGAACACTCTCTGAAGCACCGAGAGGGTAGGGATCATTACCTTCCCTGCTGTGGCTCCAGTGCCTGGCACAATGTAGGCACTTAATAAATATTCGTCGAGAATGAATGAGTAGATTCCCCCCAACTTGAGTCCCTTCTTTTTCTCCAAAAGGAAAAGGGAAAGATGGTATTGAAAGACAACAAAAAGAAAGACATAAAGGGACTAACATTGTTTGAATACCTACCGTGTGTCAGATGCTTTCAGAGGTAATTTCTCGTTTAAGCTTCCCTCTAACATGTGAGGCTCTTGCCTGCATTTTGCAGATGAGGAAACTGAGACTGAGATCTCAAGCAACTCTCTTGAGGTCACACGGCAAGGATGACAAGAGTCAGGATTTACACCCAACCTCCAGAGCTTGTAAATCTCTTTTCAGTCTGCTTTTCCAGCAGCTTGTGACTTGTAGATGTAGCTCTTAAAAGAGGCCAGCAGATGTGGGCCAGCTGGGCCATATAAAGAGTTCAGCAATATTAAATATTTAGCGACAGTTTGATGACTACGGCCCACAAGGGACTAGGAGAGAAAGCCTTGGCAGGCAACCATCGAGGTGGACGCTGCACACACTGGGCCCTGGGCCAGCGCACCATTCCTTGGGGCTGTTCTTGGACTTGTCTTTGGGTGTCCTGGCATGGGAGGAGAAAACAGGAATGGGGAGGTGGCATGATGACACGGGAGCAGCTCCCTATTAGCTGAAACGTGACAGTGCTGGGGGCCATGCAATGCCCTCACTTAATCAGCAGGTGGCGATGCCAAGGCACATTTACCTACGCTGGGTTTTCACAGCGTTTCAACATCAACCACCCTGGTTTCTCTCTTCATACCTGAGCTGGGCTCCCTACCCTCCCTAAGACAAGGATGCAGAAGCAGACAGGTGAGCTCAGAGACCCTGGGGCTATGGGGCTGCCTCTCAGAGCCCCAGTTTTGTGTTTTATTAGCACTCAATTGTTTGACTAGCACTGAACTATTTCGTATCTCTGAGCTTCAATTTTCTCACCTGTGAAATGGGGATAGTAGTGCTGGTTTGTTTAACAGCTGCCTCAACCCAGTGCTGGACACATGATTAGCACTTGATAAGTGATACCTGTTCGTGTTATAATTGCCTTAATGCCGACAGTTTTCTGCATAGCGCCTGCTCAAGTGCTGGGTTTAGTTCCCTTTCTCCTAAGGGAAGGAGCTGAGAAACTGTTACAGGCAGACCTTGGAGATACTGCAGGTTCAGTTCCAGACCCCCACAATAAAGCAAGTACCACAATAAAATGAGTCACACAGATTTCTTAGTTTCCATGCATATGTAAGTTACATTTACACTATACTGTGGTCTATTAATTGTGCAACAGCATTATGTCTAAACAAACAACACACATACCTTAATTAAAAAATACTTTATTGGGGCTTCCCTGGTGGCGCAGTGGTTGAGAGTCCGCCTGCCGATTCAGGGGACGCGGGTTCATGCCCCGGTCCGGGAAGATCCCACATACTGCGGAGCGGCTGGGCCCGTGAGCCATGGCCGCTGAGCCTGCGCATCCAGAGCCTGTGCTCCGCGACAGGAGAGGCCACAACGGTGAGAGTCCTGCATACCGCTAAAAAAACAAAAAAACTTTATTGGGACTTCCGTGGTGGCGCAGTGGTTAAGAATCCGCCTGCCAATGCAGGGGACACGGGTTCGAGCCCTGGTCCGGGAAGATCCCATGTGCCACGGAGCAACTAAGCCCTTGTGCCACAACTACTGAGCCTGTGCTCTAGAGCCCGAGAGCCACAACTGCTGAGCCCACGAGTCACAACTACTGAAGCCCACACGCCGAGAGCCCGTGCTCCACAACAAGAGAAGCCACCGCCATGAGAAGCCCACACACTGTTTCGAAGTGTAGCCCCCGCTCGCCATAACTAAAGCCGGCGTGCAGCAAAGAAACCCAACACAGCCAAAAAATAAATAAATAAAATAAAATAAATACTTTATTGATAAAAAAATGCCAACCATCATCTGAGCCTCAGCATGTCATGATCTTTTTGCAATACTCACATCAAAGATCACCGATCAGGGACTTCCCTGGCAGTCCAGTGGTTAAGAATGCACTTCCAATGCTGGGGGTGCGGGTTTGATCCCTAGTTGGGAACTAAGATCCCACATGTTTCGCCGAAGTGCGGCCAAAAAAAGAAACCCCGAGAAACAAAAAACAGATCACCGATCACAGATGACCATAACAAATATAATAATAATGGAAGAGTTTGAAATAGTGTGAGAATTACCAGTGTCTTGGTGACACAGAGACATGAAATGAGCAAAGTCTGTTGGAAAAATGACACCGACAGACTCGCTTGACACAGGGTTGCCACAAACCTTCCATTTGTATAGAACACAGTATCTGTGAAGTGCAATAGAGTGAGATCTGCCTGTACTAATTTGCTCACCACCAGTTGATAAACACATAGCCATTCTCCCAGTTTCCCTGCTTGAGCTGCACACTGATTGGGGTGGGGTGTCTACTCCTCTCTGCGTGTGGTTCATGAGTAAATCCTGATTTGTCTAAGTCAGCTATGATGGAACCATGCCCTTGACTGGGCTGGCGGTGGGCTTGGGGCCCAGTCCTGCCCAATGACATTTAAGGGCACATCTCCTGGGGGTAGGGGTGGTTTTGCTGGGTCTGTGGGAGACCTGTGGCACTGCTGCGGCCCTCCTCTCTGGGAGGAAGCCCCTGACACAGCTGACCGTGACCTTCGCAGGGCAGGAACAGAAGAATCTGGTCCTTGATGGTGATGTCAAATATGGAATTAACCCACCAAGTGGGCCCCCACTCCATAGCTTGGGATTCCTTTTTTTTTCTTTTAAGATTTTTCTTTTTACTACTTTTTATGGTAAAACAGCATACAACCTGAGATCTACCCTCTTAAAACATCTTTACGTGTACAGTACAGCGTTGTTAATGGATACAGAAAACGTGATCTATACATACAATGGGATTCCTTTTTAGAAGGTAAAATAGAGTCTTGTTGCTTAAATAATTTTTCAGTCAGCAGGAAGTACTCCCATACACAGACTTGTCTAGAGCAGCATTGCTCAAAGTACAATTCCTTTTGTTTTAATACATGACTTTTTTGGGGGTAAAATACACATAAAAATCAACATTTTAACCATTTTTAAGTGTACAATTCAGTGGCATTAAGTATAGTCATAATATTGTACAACCATCTCAAAGTGTGATTTTTTTTTTCTGTTTCAACTTTTTAATGTAAAAAGTCAGGTCGTGGAAATATAAATCATCATCATCGTTGTTCTGCAGCACACATCACACTGTGGGTGTGGATATTTCCATGTGTTATTGGCAAGAGAAACCACAAGAAAACAAAATAACTATTCAAACACTCCTTTCCCCAGGCAGGCTGGCAGTCAGCTGTGGCCCACATTCACAAGAGAATTCCAAAAGAATGCTGTTCTGGGCGGTATGTCAGGGGCATGGATTAACGTGGTTGTTTTAACTCTGATCTTTCAGCGCTCGGGCTGGTTTCCCACGGCTGAACTTCTGAAGACAGGCCTCACCACGTGCAAATGGCACACTTTCTAGAAAACAGGTGGTGTATGAGACCCTCGCTTTTAGGATCAAAGTGTAATTCTTGGACCATGACAACAGCTGGGGAAGGGACGTCAGAGGTTCTTCCCTAGCTCCCTCTGGGGGCTGAGGCCCCAAAACACGTCTCTGTGACAAGTTCCCCCGCTGGATCTGACGTCACCACAGCTGGTAAACCACCTGGGCCAGTGTGGTGGAGCTCACCCCATCCAAATTCCTCTGTTTATACGGGGGGGCTGAGGCCCAGAGATGGAGAGGTCCTGCCCAAATGAGGTAAGTGGCAGAGCCAGTGTCTCTAGTGAGAGCAGCTGGTGGCCTCAGCATGTGGAGGTGGAAACAGAAGCTGCAAAGAAGAGAAGACTTGGCCAGCACCTGCTTAGCACTTACTGAACATCTACTGTCCTGTGTGACTTCCCCTTGTCCTCAGTGTCTCTAGGAATTATGGGTTATCACAACTCCACTTTTCAGATGGGGAAACTGAGGCTTAGTGTGGTTGGCCTGTATGGTGTAAGTCAGACCTCACCACCCCAGAGCCCATGCCGGTTCCATCCTGCTGGGCTGTCAGATCTGGGCACAGTCCACCGAGATGGGGCCTCAAGCCAGTCCTGTGTTTTCCATGCCTTTCCCAAACATGGGCACCCACTGGCCATGCCTGGATGGCAGAGAGCCTCCACTTCCTAAGTTCCTAAGTTCAAGGTGACTGGTGGATGGTGTCGGGCAGCTCCCTTCTGTGCTTAACCTTGAGGCTTCCTCAGCTCCCCCTCTCCTTCCACGTGAAGCCACACCATGAACAAGCCGCTGGACCTGGCACGGTCTGGGCCCTGGCCAATTCCACCAAGCACACTAGCCTTTTCTTTAAGTCTCACGGCCAGTGTTTCTGCTGTGCTGTTCCTCTGCCTAGAAGGCTGTTTCCCCTTCTAACTTCTCCTCATCCTTCAGGTCTTGGTGTAAATGCCCCTTCCTCTGAGAAGCCCTCCCCCAGCCCCGCTGACTGGGTCAGGTCACCTGGCCTCAGAACACACTGGATTTTTCCTCCATAGTGTTCACTGCAGTGTTAAAGAAATAATTTTAAAAATTAACATCCTGCCCACACTAGACCGTGAACTTCATGAAAGCCAGGGACCTGGCTATCTGGTTCCTGCTGTGTGTCCCAGCCTCTGCTCTACTGCTTGGTACACAGTGGGTGCTTAATAAATACCTAGAGAGTGGGTGAATGAAACTATGGCAAGTGGAGCACTATGTCCTCATAGTCGGGGGGGAGTGGGGACATGGGCTAGAGGGCCACACCTCTGCTGGAGAGGTTTGCCGCGGAACCTGGACAGTGTGCACTACGGGTTCCTAAAAATTCAGTGCGACCTCTGTTGAGCAGGCACCTGGGATGTTCCCAGACTCCTCTGTTGAGTTTCAGGAGCCTTTGTCCCCGAGAAAAACTTTGCCACTCGTCCTGTCCACCGAGGTGTGCCTCCACTCCACACTCATTGGGACAGTAAAGTTACTGGCCTGGGTCCTGCAGCAAAGCCAGCTGCCAGGGGGTAGTAGGAGTGAGGGACACACCCCGAGAGCCACTAGTGGAATTAGGAGGTAGAAGGGACTTTTTTTTAATGGCCTCAGCTTAGCTTATTTATTTTATTTTTAAAATTTTTTATTGGAGTATAGTTGATTTACAACGTTGTGTTAGTTTCAGATGTACAGCAAAGTGAATCAGTTATACGTATAGATATATCCACTCTTTTTTAGATTCTTTTCCCATATAGGCCATTAAAGAGTACTGAGTAGAGTTCCCTGTGCTATACAGCAGGTTCCTATTAGTTATCTATTTTATACATAGCAGTGTGTGTATGTCAATCCCAATCTTCCAATTTATCCCTCCCCCACCAAAGGGGGCTTTTGAAATCATCATGCTGGACCCATTCACTCAACACATGGGGAAACTGAGGCTCACGAAGGGAAGTAGAGTCTGGAAACCAGTCAACAAGAGTCAGGACCAGATCCTGGGTACCCTGAGAGGTGGGCCTGGGTGCTTTCACTCTACTTCCACCCAGAATTACTGAGAGCTGGGGAGGGCATTTCTAGAACCATCAACATCCTCACCTTCAGCATCCCCATGTGACATATACCGAGTGCCAACCTGTGTCCCAGGTGGATCCTTAAATTCTTAGGTGCCATCTCCTTGAATATTCTCAGTACTTTGAAGGAGGGGCTATTAGGATACCCATTTCACAGATGAGGAAACCAAGGCTCAGAGAGATTATGTTCTTTGCCCAAGGTCACACAGCTGGAAGTGGTAGAGCTACTAATAGCAATGGTACTTTGTTGTGACACTGTCTTTTGTCAGTGACATGGTTGGGTTTCCTTATAGCATTTTTTTCCCCTGAGGCTGCCCCTATAGGTAGAAGATGAGGTGGCATTTCTCCCTTTACTCTGTGCTGTTTACATGCCCCAAATACTATGTTCATGCAGCAACTGAAAAAAAAGTTCAAATATTTAGCTGTAGTATGCGGTGCTGTTTTCCTGGGATGGCAGGGAGTGGGCCTGCTGGTGTGTGTCGCCTTTGCGTTAATTAGGGAGAAGCGGCAGACGGGCCCCGCGAAACAGCAAGGCGGGTTGGCATGGCAGCTCTTCACACCCAGGGGAGTTGGCTCAACAAAGCCAATTTGGCACATTTAATCCTGCTGAAAACCTGGCAGTTGGGGATGTGACATCACTGGAATCAATTACCCCCACAATTGCCAGTCCTGGGTAGAAATAACTCAAGAAATCGACTCGTAATAACCACGCCATTCATTGAGGGCTGCCTGCCTGCCAAGTCACCAACTGCCTGATTTACATTAACCCGTTAAACCCCACATGAGCCCTGAGAGGTAGTTACCATTATTACTATCCTCATTTTACAGGTGGGATAACTGAGGCTCAGAGACGGGAAGTGTGGTAGGCTCAGTAATGGCCCTCAAAGAGATCAGGCGCTAATCCCTGGAGGCCCTCAATGTGACCTGATTTGGAAGAGAGGTCTTTGCAGATGTGATTTAGGACCTTGAGATGGAGAGATCATCCTGGATTATCTGAGTGGGCCCTAAATGCCATCACAGGTGTCATAAGAGAGAGACGGGGGACTTCCCTGGTGGTCCAGAGGTTAAGACTCTGCACTTCCACTGCAGGGGGCATGGGTTCAATCCCTGGTCAGGGAACTAAGATCCCACAAGCCTTGTGGCGCGGCCAAAGGAAAAAAAGAGAGAGAGACAGAGAGAGACTTCACACAGAGGAGAAGGCCATGTGAAGCTAGAGGCAGAGACTGGAGTGATGCAGCCACAAGCCAAGGGAACCTGGAGGCACCAGAAGCTGGAAGAGGCCAGAGACAGATTCTCCTCTAGAGCCCTCCGAGGGGGTGCAGTGCTGCCGACACCTTGATTTTGCCCCAGTGATACAGGTTTCAGCCTCCAGACTGTGGGAGCATAAATTTAGGTTGTTTTAAACCACCAGGTTTGTGATCATTTGTTACAGCAGCCACAGGAAACTCATACAGAAAATGACTTGTCCACGGCCAAATAGCTATGAAGTGGAGGTGTTGGGCTTGAAACATAGTAAGTGCTCAATAAATGTTACCTGTTATTATTATTATGACCAGGTGCACGTGGGGAGGCTGATTTATAGGATGAAATGTCCAAAAGACCACCAACATGGTCTACTTTATCCATCCCAACAGACTCTGTTGGGAAGGGTCAGTCTGAGTAACCCGGATTTGATGATTCAGTTTGGGAAGAAGCTATTAACACTGGGTGGAGAGGGTTCAGCAAAATGATGCAACTTTGTAGCATGAACACCTCACTCCCACTGAGTCAATGCCAAGCACTAGGATTAACTCCACTGGCCAAGCTGGTCCCACAAATCGATTTCAGAGCAGGTGTGCAGCCAATGGAGCAAGTGTGATGGCCCACAGAGGTGGCTCCTCTGTGTCTGGCAGCATTTCCCCCAGGACACTTTATTTGTTGTTGATTACAACCTCTGTCCTCTTTGGTTCAGAGTAAACACTCAACACATATGTACTGAGTGTGTGAAGTCTGCCCCATTACAGTAAGCTAAAGGTAGGGATTGATGGCCTATAGCTAAAGCCAGCTGGCTAAAGTTCTATGTGCCTCCTCCCCTTTTCCTCCCCTCCCCTCCCCTCCCCTCCCCTCCCCTCCCCTCCCTTTCCCTTCCCTTCCCTTCCCCTCCCTTCTGTTCTTTAACAATTTGATCCCCTAGGTGGGTCCCAGCAAGGTAAACATCAGCGATGGGGGGAGGGGGAGAGGGTACATGCCGGTCCAAAGAGGGGTGTCATAGCTCAAAAGGGATAAGAAGAGTGTCTGCATGGGGTGAGGGTGGCCCAGCACAGGGGCCCAGAGCTTGCGTGAGTGAGAAGGTCATCCTTGTGGAAAGGCAGCTTGGTATGTGGTGTCAGAACTTGAGTGGGGTGTAGAGGGTATCCTTGTTGGGGGGAAGGCAGCATCAACAATAAGAAATTGTTACATAAGGGGAGTTGGTCAAATAAGTGAACACACTGAAAACAGTGAGAATACTAGGTTTCTCACTGTCTGAGCAGGGAGTTACCAGTATGGAAAGACTAGAATTAACCCTGTGGAGTTAGGCTGGAACTGGATCTATCAGGGAGAACTCATGGTTTTCAATATCGATAAAAGACTATAGATATAAATATAGATATAAATGTGTGTGCACACGTGTGTGTGTATAACTCAGTCCACTGATAGGATCTAGGGGCAGTGACACCCCCCAAACCATAAGCACATCTAGATCTTGGTTTCTAAATACCATTCTCTACTAAAAGAAACCTGGGTTCTACGGAGAAACGGCTGATTTCAGAGCTAGGGCAGAGAAAGTACAAGATGAGCCTGGAATATCTTGTGTCAAACAGTAATGAAGTGTTTAAAGAATGATGGAGACATGTCAAAAGGACACAGAAGCCAGATTAAAGGGGCTGTCATGGACCAAATCTAGGATACACTGGGCACCCAAATAAATAATAACAGTAATGGATTGTAACCCATGGAATCAAGAGCCTGTACTAATGGAAATAAATAAATGGAAAGTTTGATGAGAGATGGAATATTTACCTAGTCTCAGAGTACCTCCCTATGAAATATTTATTAATTTCAAAGAGGAAAAGAAGAAATTCAGAGTGAGAAGCCTGGAAGACACCATCTTATTCAAGTGATCACAATTAACATCATCCATAATTGGACAAATTGAAGTCACCTATATCATCTGTTATGATGCAATAAGGACACAGCATCACTTCTGTGATATTTCATGATATACAGAATCCACAACTTGCATCTAATCTATGATGCATGGTCTGAACCTAACTGAGAGGAAACATCAGACAAACCTAAACTGAGGGACATTCCCCAAAGCGCCTGCCCTGCCTCTTCAAAAGAGTCCAGGTCACGAGAGCCAAACAAAGACTGGGGAATGTTCCAGACTGAAGGAGACTCAAGAGACAGGACCATTACATGCAACATGAGATCCTGAACTGGACCCTTTTGCTACAAAGGACATCCTTTGGACAAATGGCAAAAGTTGATGAGCCCTGAGTATTAGAGCTCTGAGTATTAGACACATTAGAAATGCATCAGTGTTAATTTTCTGCATTGATGGATGTATTGCGATTCTGTAGGAGAACATCCTTGTTTGGAGGAAATACACATTAAAGTATTTAGGGTGATGGGGCATTGTGTCAGCAACTTAGGCTCAAATGATTCAGGAACAAAAAGCTATTTGAATTGTACACCTAACTTCTATGTAAGTTTGAGATATGTCAAAAGAAAAAAGAAAAATGTTTTGTGTTGCTTACATAGCATTAAGAAAGTTTTTTAAAATTAGTTGCCAACATCTAAAAATCAAGAGATTTTGCCCTCAACTCTAGGTTTCTGACTTCCCTTGAGAAATCTGAAAAGCTAGCAACTCCGGGAATGAGTTGTGCCACAGTGCCCTTTAGATGGTCTGTGCGATCCCCAGTTCTCCACAGTCCCCTCCACTCCTTATTGTGTAACCCTCAGCCCACAGCATCCATCTATGCTTCCAGCCTGGCCCCTAGGACCAGCCCAACCCCTGTCATAAGCTATGGGAATCCATAGAGCAGGCACTTAAAACATTTGTTGGATGGATGCGTGGGTAGACGGGTGGATGGACGAACTTTCAAGACATCGCATTAACCCAGAGCAACAACCTATCACAGCATCCTAAACCCATGTTCCATGGCAAGACAATTCTTCCAGACTT